GAGAGAGAGAGAGAGAAAGAGAGGAAAGAGGGACGTGTTGACACTGTCAATTGAAAGAAGAGTGTAAAAATAAAAAAGTGCGTATTAAAAGAGATAAAAAAGAAGTTACCCGACATTTGATAGATACAAATTTGATGTACACTTATCATAAAGATGCAAAAAATATCGATTAATACAGCTTCGGGACTGCAATGGGCAGCCAAACTTTACTCTTCAGTAACTTTTAAAAGCTTGTCTACTTTAATAAAAATTTAATTTGAAGTTTACGCAGAACTACCTAGTTAGCAAGATGTTTTATCTTGTAAATTTAAAAATTACGCAAAAGTGCGACGTCTAAGAAAATTTTCACTGCTAAAAAAAAGAAAAAGTCGCTTCTGAAATTTTATCGGAGAAAATTTATGCAAACATCATGATCAAGCATGCGTAAACGTCAGACTATCATTATGTAATAATATTATACAACAAAAATTCAATATTACTAGGTTTTTTTAATAGCAGCAAGAGTTCTGAAGAGTAAGTAACACTACTATGTTATTTTTAATTTTCAATCACATTGTTTTTACATTTGACATATTAATTATTGCGATATGAATATTGAATATACAAAAGTTTAACGAGAAACAGGAGATAACATTTCCTAGATGATATATTCATTGTATAATATTTAACAAGTTAATAAACATACTATACATCGCTATACTATACAGTATGTTAAAATAGCGCGTGCACGAATTAATGACCCTTTCTGACATTTCTGACTAATTAATTATTGGGCATACCGCAATCGTTAATTACTACTGATATCTTTATATCTAGCGTTAAATGTAATATGTGTGGATTGATTCTCGTCGCGAGTGTAATTTTGATAAGTAAAGTACGACAATAGTCAATGAAACGCTTTATTAAATTAATTAATTTAAATTTCTCAACTTGAGGGCATTTACTCCAAATAATAATATTACAAATTACAAAAAGCTGCGGTTTCCAGTAGACTAGCAAAATATGTAGCCGCTAATTAAATTTTAAAATTGTTAAGCTATATTAGCATAATTCTTAATTAACATAATTAATGTAAACGTTTTATACTGGTTTCGATTCGCAAACTCTCGTTGCGTATCAATTATGCAGATATAACAACGAATGTTCCACATTTATTTATCTTAAATTTGTAGAGTATCGTGAATACTATATTATCGTAATTCATTATCGAGATGATGCAAAACAGTTGTGATATCGTCCGTTTAAGCAACATGATGATTAATTGAGAAGCATGTTATTTTTGCAGTTAACCAAAGTTACCACACGTTACAACCATCTCTCGCGTCGCAATTGATTGTTGCAATTTAACAAACAGGATTATTCTAAAATACAAGGAGAAGCCGCGTGCTTCCTTTGGTGTTCGCAGCGCCATTATTTCGGTGACTTGCTTCGAGCGGACCGCAATGAGACCCGTATATGTTCAGGACAGGTCGACATCGCTCTCGCGTTATAGGTCATAGGTCGCGTGGTATTGAAAACGGTACGTTTCGATGCGCATAAAGCGGAATTGATTTAAAAATCGGGAAATTGGTCTTATGTATGCACTACCGGCGGTATGCATCTTGACGCCAACATAGATCATTATTAATACCGAACGATGTAAAACGGAATTTAATAAATGTCTGCTAATTTAAACAGCGTGAGTTTTCTCCTGCGCATTCGCAAAATCTAATAAATAAACTTCCATCTCTACTCATCTCGAGCTTTTATTTTATTCCAATGCTTGTTTGTACAGCTACAAATTTATTGTTGCAAGAAATCAAACGTAGACTTTAAGTTTGTGAAAGTAACATATTTTGCATTACCTCGAATCGAAATAAGGATGTATGCATGTGCAAACAAATTCTCTTATATAAACATATATTATATTTAATTAATGATGTAATGAGATGAAACTGCTAATTGTTATAACAAGAAAGCGAAGAGCCGAGAGAGGAGGTAATTAATAATAATCCTCGGCTTGTTCCTCGGATGTAATTTTCGCGCGATAATTAACGCTTACTATTAGCCACTATTTCATTGTTTAAAAAATTCATTTCGTTTGCAGTCGGAAACAATGGATTTATCCCAGCTTGAAAAACTACACGGTATACGAACGATACTTGCATAGGAGCGCAATGGTATATTGATTTTTACTGACTTTTGCACTGGGACCATTTTCAACGTATACATATAAAGTTTGCGCAGTTTGCGCACATTGTTCGGTTTTAAACAAAAGAACATACACGATATGTCTGTGTGCTATTCGTACAATTTGTACATCACCAGTGCGAATTTTAGTACAATGATTTTTTTATCTAACTTGTATGTGAATATGCAATAACTCTTTTAAAGACATATACTAGTCATTTTTCACTTGCCTGTAGAATTTGTTATATTTTCTAATTGATTTTTTCACGATTTATCTGATCAGAATTTTATTTTTTTTCTTTTACTAACAAGATTACTTCTGAATTAATTAGTAAAACTAATATGTAATAATATGTATGAGGCATACCAATTTAAAATAGTTAAATGCAAATAACAAGTAATTAATTAAAATTAGTTAATTAAGCATTTCTTATTAAAAAAAGCTAATTAGTGATATTCAACTAGCAGTTAATTAAAATAAAATGATAAGTAGATGTAAAAGTTTAAAAACTTATCTTGACTCTATATATTGATCTCTGAAGATACCTGACATAGAATTTTTTCTGAAGTATGTGACGTATATAAAGATAATCTCTGTCAATTTTATGCGAAGTCATGCCTATCTTCTCGACGTTATTTCGTGATGTTATTTCGTATAGACACATGAATGATGAAGATATAAAATTTTACGAGCCAGATGGAATCAATACGCATGTGTATGCTAAAGACATCATAAAATAACACGCTGTCACGATCACAAATGCATTCCTTCGCATGCACACCGTACTTTTCTACGATATCGATTCTTTCACCCGTTTTTCAAACGAACGAGTTGCTCGTCATATAATTTTTAGCAATTTTGCGATCGACCGAGTTCAACTTATCTCTTCATATTTCAAAATATATTTTCTTCTCTCGTGCCGTAGAAACATTTATTTTAATTTCGATTATTTAGATCATATTGGTTT